AAAGCGCTGCCACACAGTAGGGGTTAAGGCCTGGTGACCCCCAAATGTTTGGCTGAGCCACCCTCCAGGAAGCCTTCCTGCACAAGCTCCCATCCTACCCTGCAGCCTTCTAATGAACCTGGGTCGCTGGGATCCCTGTCCCCTCCCTCCTTGGGGCCTGACCCCCTGGAATCCCAGCCAAGCCCTTCCCTTCAGGAAATAGGCTCTTAATAACTCAGGCAGGCACATAATTAACAAATAACAATTCTGGCCTTAGCACAAATGAGCTCCTTGTCTGGGTCAGGGTTGGTATTTGTTTTTTAATCCCTAAAGTCGGCTTTATCCTCTTGAGGGGTTTTCCCTCCCGCTCAGCCACCTCTGCCACTGATGCTGGGCAGCCCCTGGGATTTGAGGGGCTGGAGTCCCCCCTCCTCCCTCCCTCCTTCTTCCTCCCCTCCTTCTTCCCTCCTTCCAGTATCTCTCCAAGGTCCCACCAACCAGTGACCTGATGCTTCCACATTAAAAATGTGGGCTTTGACCTCAAGCTCCAGACCATGTTAAAATACAAATGTGGGGCCCCCGGGAGGAGTGTGGCTTTTCTCCACTAGCGTTTTATTTAAGAATTTTGGAATATTCACTGAGAAAGAGGCTTTGGAGACTGAGCAGGGAGGCTCCCTCCCACTATAGATAAGATCATCAGAGCCTCATTTTGTTCCAGAGCCTCCCTGGGAAGCTCTTTATGGACATAATAGGAAAGCTCTCAGGGATTGTGAGCTCTCTGGGCGCCTGCTGGCTGGGCGAAGTGCTTTGCATGAATTCATTCATCACACACAGCCCTCTACCCAGCTGCATTCAGGGTTTTGGATTTGGGGGGGGGGTTGCTTTAACAAGCCTCAGGTGTTCGAGGTTTCATTATTGCCTGTTAGGACATCAGGCATATCCCAGATCCAAACTCCCCAATGCCAGCTTATAGAGCGGAGATTGGCAAACCACAGCTCTTACGCCCAATCATGCCTGCCTTCTGTTTTTATAAAAAAAGTTTTATTTGGGACAAAGCCACGCCCATTCATTTCCATATTGTCCATGGCTGCTTTCATGCTACAGTGTCAAAGCTGTGTGGCTGGCGTGTCCCCGCAAAGTCAAAGATTTACTGGCTGTGCTTTTCAGAAAGTTTGCCAGTTCTGTTATATAGTATGATGGGTACAAGAAGCGCCACCTTTTGGAGTCAGCTAGACTTGGGTGTGGGTACAGATCCTGGCTCTGCCACACACCAGCTGTTCAGCTGGGTGCAAGCCGTCCTCAGTTTGCACGTCTGTGAGATGGGACTGATAAACTTCACACAGGGTGGCAGTGAGACCACAGAAGAAGGTGCTTATTGGGCCCACTCCACGCGGCTTCCTTTGGTTTGTTTTGCGTTCTGGCTTCTGCGCACGTTCCATTGCTTTAAATAAAGAAGGTTCGGAAACGGCTGCTTTAGGTCAAGTTCACAGAGGCCTCGATAGGTGCTCCTGAGGGGCCCATAGTTTCATGCAAAGGAAGGAGGGTGGCCTCTTCCTACAAAACTAAACAGCCTGGTGGAGTTGGGGCCCCAGGGTCTTTCCCGGGAGGAAACAGGACTGGGACTCAGAAGACGGGGAGGGGAGGGTTAGTCACTGCAGACGTGAGAACCAGCTGGGCAAAGCGAGGGCCCTGTCGGGGTGACCTGTCTGCAACGCTGCCTGAGTGCCAGGCACCTGCCACTCTCTCTCCAGCCCAGAGAGGTGGGTGATCCAACCCTGGTTTTGTCAGTGTAAACAAGAAGGTTGCCAGGAGTTGGTGAATCACAAAGCTGGAGGGTATCTGGTGCACACGGACCGCCCTCACTCCGACTCCAGCTGCAAGTTTGGGGGTTCCCAGAACTACCCTCAGATTTGATAATTTTCAGGAAAGACTCGCAGAAGCCACTGAAAGCTGTTATACTCAGTAATGGTTCATTCCTGGGAAAAGACACAGGTTACAATCAGCCAAGGGACGAAGCTCATAGGGCAGAGTCCAGGAGGGTCCCAGACATGGACTTCCAGCTCTCCTCCCCCAGGGGAATTGTCAACAGAGTTAACTTCTCCTGCAACCATGTGTGACAGCACACACGGAGCGCTGCCAGCCAGGGGAGCTGCTCCGAGCCTTGGTACCCAGAGTTCTTACTGGGTGTTACAGGTTGAATTGTGTCCCCCCAGAATGTATATGTCAATGTCCTAGCCCCTTTGGGAATAGCCCCTAGTCCTGTTGGGAGTAGGGTTTTTGCCAGTGTAATTAGTTAAGATGAGGTCGCACTGAAGAAGGGAGGACCCCTGACCCAATATGACTCGTGTCCTTATAAAAAGGGGAAATTTGAACACAGCAACACGCACACGGGGAGAACACCGTGTGAAGACGGTGGCAGAGCCCAGGGCGATGCTTCTACAAGCCTAGGAACACCAAAGGGGGGTGGCAAACCACCAGAAGCCAGGAGGAGGCGTGGGAGAGAGTCTCCTGCACAGCCTCAGAAGGAACCAAGCCTGCCGACCCCTTGATCTCAGACCTAACCTCCAGAGCTGCCCAGGGGTCACTACACTGACCCTACAGGGATCATTAGGAGCTCTGTCCTTCCTAATGGAGGTCAACAGGAGCAATAGTCACCCATGACTCAGCTCCTGCAGCTGGCCAGGGGCTCTGATACTTGACTAATCTAACCCCAGTCTGGCACTGTTTGGGGAAAAAACAAAGTGGTAGTGCGCAGAAGGGATTTTAACACCTTGGCAATGGTGCCTGAAGGTTTTCATTTGTTTCATTTAAAACGTGAAGTATCCCTACTTACTCTGCTTCAGGCACTGTGCTAGGCTCAGAAGAACATAGATGAGTGAAATCGTGGCTGTTCTCCAGATGCTCACAGTAAAAAAAGACAGAAGCAAGAACTAATCATTTCAGTGCAGTCTGATCAGTGCTGAAAGATTTGATGAATGAGTGAGTACAAGTGGATGAAGCAGGGAGCAGTCAGATCTGCTGGGACACTTTCCCCAAGGAAGAGCGTGATGTGCTGGGCTTTGAAGGCTGTGTAGGAGCTCACTACCCTGGAAAAGAAAGAAAGAGCATTCCAGGCTGGGAACAGTCTATGCAAAGACATGAAGGGGCCTAGGGGGCCCTGTAAGTTTGGGGAACTGTCAGCAGTTTGGGAAGTGTAGGCAGGTGCAGGGAATGAGGCTGCAGGTAGATGGGGCCAGACCATGAAGGCTTAAAATGGGGCTAAGAGGCCCACTAGCCTATGATCCACATTTCCCAAAATATATCTCATGACTCATGGTTCTGTGAAACGATAACAGGTGTTCCTCCAAAAATGGACTCCAAGGTTATTTAAGTTCGAGAAGCCCAGGGTTAAGCACAATTAAAGTGGCTTCCTTACTGCAGAACTTCTCAGAGCCTTTAACTCTCTAACACAGGTGTGAGTCTCCTAGAGGTGGATAGAGTAGACGGGATTCAGTCAACATTCAAATACGTTTTATTTCCAAACTCATTTGATGGTGGAACCCCTTCCTGAGGGATTCACAGAATGCTAGTGTTCCAGGGAACACACTTTGGGAATGCTGCTGGTAGTCATCAAGAGCTGGTGAAGAAGGTGTGATCGGACTTGCAGTTTCTGGCTGCTGTTTGCAGGGTAGGCTGAAGAGAGAGAAATCAGGCGGCAGGCAGACTAGCTGGGGACATGAGGAGGAGAAGGAAGGACGTGAAAGATATTGAGGGGACAGGACCTGCAGGCTGGAGATTGGTCACATTGGCTGGGGGTTTGGAAGGTGAGGAGGAAATGAAGAATTGAGCCCACGCTCTGGCTGCTAGTGCATGGTGACGTCATTGGCTCAGGAGGGGTGAGGAAGGTGTTTGGCAGAGTGAGTAGCTGGTGATATTTATGTCAGCCAGAAATCTGTAGCTGGGCTTGGCCACGTCACTTCTACATGATTTATGGGTGAAGTAGGACAACTCATTTGACGACTTAGAAGAAGTGGACAAATTCCTAAAAAAGTCCCACTTGCCAAAACTGACACAAGATGAAACAGAAAATCTGAATAGCCCCATATCCACTAAAGAAACTGAATTCATAATCAAAGACCTTTGCACACAGGCAATCCCAGGTCCAGATCATTTGATTGGTGAATTAAATCAACATTTAAGGAAGAAACTACACCAATTCTATTAGTCTGTTTCTGTTGCTTATAACAGAATACCTGAAACTGGGTAATTTACGAAGAACTGAAATTTATTTCTTACAATTTTGGAGCCTGAGAACTCCACAGTCCAGCAGGTGCATCTGGTGAAGGCCTTCTTCTTGGTGGGAACTCTCTAAAGGGTCCCACAGCAACCCAGGGTGTCACATGGTGAAAATGGCCCTGATCAAGTGAGCTAACCTCACTCAGTCTCTCTATGAAGCTATCAGAGCTGCCCAGTGACCACTCATTAAACCATCGACCCACTGTTCCATGAATGGGTCAGTCCATTCACAAGGGCGTGGTACTCATGATCCAATCACCTCTTAAAGGCCCCACCTTCCACCCCATATTGGGGGTTAAGTTCCAACGTGAGTTTGGGGGGACATTCAAACCATAGCACTGATCTTACACAAACTCAAAATAATCTGTGGGAGACTTGACGTCGTGCATGGTTTAGAGTGAGACAGGGCAGGGTTCAAATTCATGCTGTGTTTCGTTCACCCATTCAGAGTGATGTTCTGAATACTTCCCGTGCATGCATCAGTCCCTGTTCTAGGCATTGAGTATATATTGGTGTTATACATGCTTGAAGTTATGCAAGCTTGGGAGAGGGAGTCATGTAACTTTCCTGAGCCTCGGTTTCCTCATCTGTGAAGTGGAGAAAGCGATCCCCCTTTGCTGAGAGCTGCCCGGACTTGGTGATAGGGAGGGAGACAGCCTGTGGAGGGCAGTTTCCCAGCGGCCACTGATGCCTGTCTCTCTGTTGTGTGTGTACGTGTGTGTGTGTGTTCCACGCTGCCCTCTCAGGCTTTAAAATGTGTGTCAGCAGCAGCAGCAGCAGCCACGACGAGGCGCCGGTCCTGAGCGACAAGCACCTGGATGTGCCCGACATCATCATCACCCCCCCGACCCCCACGGGCGCCATGCTGCCAAGGGACTCGAGGCACACAGGTGAGGCCACCTGCCACTGCTGCCTGGCTGGAGACAGCTCACGGGGGCAAGCTGCGGCCCCACCTCCTCCTGGGTTTATTAGAAATGGATGGTCAGATCTGCGTATGTGCCACTGTGAGCCCCTCGCTACGGCCCCAGCGCCAGCAAGATGTGACATGTTAAGTAATTAGCTAGACAGCCTTCCCAGCAGCCAGGGACAGTAGATAGATGGGGCTGGGCTGAGCCTACCATGCCTCGTCCCCTGCCAGCCAAGGTAGTTTGTTGATGGATGTGCCTTCCCTGCCAGCAGGAGGACTGGCACTCCATTTCGCTGGCTGTGGCAGTGTGGCTAGACAGGCCAGACCCAGAAACAACCCAGGCTCTGCGAGAAGGGAGAGGAGATGGGATTTTTCCCAGTGAGAGGCACCCCCATCCCCCCGGCTCTTCTGTCCATACCGCTGGAGCTGGCAGGACAAATTGTTCCCTTATTCATTGGATGGAGATTACTGAGCCAGGCCTTGCCAGGAGCCAAGGCTGCTGCATGAATGACAACAGTAAAGGTGATTATGTGGCACAGTACAACGTGTAATGAACCATTTTCTCACTTAGTCCTCACAGCAACTCTCTGAGTTAGGGACAGTCTTCATCCCCATCTTATGGATGGGTGAACTGAGGTCCAGAGAGGTGGAGGCTTCTGCCATGCAGCTGGTGTATAGCGGAGCTGGGATTCAGACCCAGCTGGGTGATCTGGCTCATCCTGTGGACCCCAAGGCTGGACACCCTCCCAGCGGGCAGCATCATCCAGCCTGTCAGCTGTGTGACTTGGCCTTGCTGGGCTCACCTGGAGACACAGGGCTGACGGGTGACATGAAAAGTGTGAGGCAGAGTCTGGGAGGCACTGGGGTGACTGCTCAGATGTGCTGGGCTTGGGTCTCGGCTTGCCCACAAGAGCAAGGGATGGGGAGAAAGCCATCTGACTCTTCTGGGCTGGGCCCTGTTACAGGTGCCAGGTGGGGTCATACTCAGTAGTGACTGTGATAGGTTGCATTCCTACGTGACCTTTCCAAGTGCTTGGCACGGGGCTAAATGCTTTCCACGAATCTCATTTAATTCTCCTTCCAACCTTATAGGCTGTGAGTACTGTCCGTATTGCTAGTTTAGAGATAGGGAAAGAAACAGGTCCAGAGAGGGAGAGCGACTCGCCCAAGGGCACACAGCAAGCTGGGAGGAGAGCTAGGCTCCCATTCCAGCCCAGCCGGTGTCTAATCGGAGAGTTCAGTCAGCATGGGTGGCCGGAGGCCCAGGTCCATGGCTGTGCCATCACAGTACTTTCCCTCTCTGAGCCTTGGTATCTTCATCTGTAAAGTGGGATTATACTGCCTTCCCTGCTCCCAGGGAGGGTGTGGGTGCAGAGAAGATGCATGGTTACGCTGTAGGCTGACCTTTCAGGCCAGAGGCTCTGAGCCCCCAGGAGGTTCTTTTTAAGCTTAAGCAGCTCTGGGGGTGGATTAGTCCAGAGACACTGACACAGGCTTCCCCTCCCATCTGCTCTGTCAGGTGGCAAAGCTCAAACCCCGTCCCTGCACTCTTCCCAGGGAAGGGAGGCGTAGGAGAAAGAGCACAAACCTTGCAGCCAGAAAGCCCTGAAGGTGACTCCCGGCTCTGCCCCTTATCTGCTGTGTGTCTATGAGCAAGATGCCACCTCCCTGAGTCTCAGCTTGCTGGTCTGTGAGATGGAGATGACAGCAGTGCCTCAGAGAGGGTGCAGAAGATTGGTGGGTAGGAAGGCCAAGGGGCAGCTTTAATGCCCTGCATGGTGGCTGTGTTATTGATATTCTTAGCAGTGTTAGTTAAGGCAGGAGGAAAGATCACCAGACCTGGTTAGCTTCCTCCAGAGCTGCTTGGATGCTTATCAAATACCTAGGGCTTCCCTGAGCAGTAAGAGATTGGATAGGGCCCTGGCGGGGATCCTCTGACCAACTCTGAGCGGTCTCCTGGCCCCTCTGGGCTTCACCTCATCTATAAACCAAGGGTGGAGATGCTTATCTCCCCGCAGCCCTCCCCACAGAAGCTGAGCCAAGGTTGGGTACCCAGGTAGATTCCATCCCAGGGACCTCAGCCAGAGGCTTCAGAGGGCTAGGCATTCAGAGTGGGCATACAGGGTGCCTGGGGATTCTCAAGAGACCCAGTATTGCTGGGGTCCCCTCTCAGCCTCCAGAGACACCACAAAGCAACAGAGTTCAGAGGCCCCAGCCCTGAAGCTCCCGGGGACAGGGTCCTGGGTGTGGTGGTGGGGAGGGTCCACCCAGGTGTCAATCCCCTCTTTTTCCTAGTCTGGCTGGATGAGACAGGGTCATGCCAAGATGATGGAGAAATCGATCCCGAAGCCTGAGGAGGAGTCACAAAGTACGGGATTGTCTGGCAGGCTCCTGCTGCAGGTGTCCCGGGGCATGGCTGCCAGGGGCAGATGCTGGATGGGAAACAGCAAATCCAGCCCTCGACCAGAAGAGCTGTGGCAGGACGAACAATCAACCAGCCCTGCTCACCTCCAGAACAGTGTCTTCCAGGCCCTGGTGAGTGGACCATACCTCCAAAGCCTCCACATTCCTGCTGACCACCGCGTGGTGAAGGGAGGAAAGAGACCCTTCACCCTGGCCATGGTGACGGCCATTGGGGTGCCAGGGAGAGGCTCTCTGCAGGACAAACACACACTCCAGCACCCCAGGCCACACCGATGTGTGCTCCCAAGGTCAACACATACAAGAACTTCTTGCAAGAGGAGTGGCTCGGTTTTTTACAAGTTGTTTTACAGATATCAAAACAGTTCACAAAGCGATTTATAATTTCTTTTTCTCATTATAGCACTGAGCTCTAACCCACTGAGCAAAGTAGACAGCCCCTTTTTTTTTGCATTATAAATAAAGACCCTCTATAACCAATGGTGAATCCTCTTCTTGGGTTGGGGAAGGAGATGGAGCACACCAGGAAACAAGGTCGGTTTAAGAGAATCATTTAAGGGCCGGCCCGGTGGCGCACTGCTACAGTGCGCCGCTTGGGAGCGCGGCGGCGCTCCCACCAAGGGTTCAGATCCCACATACAGACCGGTTCCCGCTCACTGGCTGAGCGAGGTGCAGGCGCGGCACCGAGGGTTGCGATTCCGTTGCCGGTCCCGGTCCGGTACGGGCGCGACACTGAGGGTTGCGATCCGTTGCCGGACACGAAAAAAGACAAAAAGGAAAAAAAAAAAAGGAGAGAGAATCATTTAAAATGGAGGAGCCAGCCTGGCTTGTGACGGGCCTTCGGTGACCCTGAGCCCCTCAATTTTCAGATTGCTGTGTAGACCTCACTGTGGCCAAGAGCACATCTCTGAGGTCACATGGGCCTCATTCAATTCCCAGCTCTGTCTTTTCCAGCTATGGGATCCTGGTAATAATACATCTCTAGGATGGGAGGAAATGCTGTATGTGTTTTAAAAGAATATAAGATTTTAGGTGTGCCCAGCTCCCTGTAGGCTGTGCTGATCTTAGCCCGTGTGTGTATGTTCATTTTCTGTGATTCTCCCAAGTGTGGTTTTTGCACTGTCTTAGTTGTGCTCTCCAGCAGCAGAGCTTGAGCCAAGGATTCTGGTGCTGGGAGTTGACTTGGGAGGTGGTCCCACGATATATAAGTAGGGGAATGGTGAGGTGCAGTTCAGGGGTCCCCAAGACCACTCTCTGCTTTAATCAGCCACTAGAAGGACTCAGAGAACTCAGAAGAGCTGTCGTAGTCATGGTTATGATTTATTACAGCAGGCAGGTACAGACTGAAATCAGCAAAGAGCAGGGTCCAGGGGAGATCAGGCACAAGCTTCCAGTTGTCCCCTCCCTATGGAGTTGTGGGCAGCTCTAACTTCTGACAATGACATGTGACAACATGCCTGGGGTACTGCCAACCAGGGAAGCTCCCCTGAGCCTCTGTGTCCAGAGTTGTTTTTATTGGGGCATGGTCACTTAGACTTGGCTGGCCACCAGAGTGGCTGACCTTGCCTCCAGCCCCTCCAGAGGTCAAGCTGACACCATGTGGCCCGAGGCCCCCATCTTAAAACACATCCTTAGATAGGCTATCTGATGTGGCCCAAGGACCCAGGCAGACAAAGACACTTATCAGGTAGGAAACCCCAAGGGCCTAGAGGTGAACTCCCAGGTCCTGGGACAAAGGCCAGCCCTCCCTGTGGGCATGGTCAACCCTTCACTGCACAAGAAGCAGGCAAGGAAGGGAAGGCACCCATAGGGGGCACTATGGAGCCAGTGACCCCTGAGGACACCTAGGTTTCAGGACCCTGGGGACTCTTGGCAGGCAGTGTGGATCCCCCTCAGTGTTCCCCCTACCCCTAAGGGTTGAGGCAGGGGGTCTGCATCCTCCACCTCCCAGTCATCACTGGCTGTGGGCAGCTTCCAAAACTACCCAGCTCTTCTAGTCTGTCCACCACAGACAGAAGAGCTCGCAGGGGATACACAGCACACGTGGACACCGAGCCCTGGGGATACTGTGGGCCCCACAATCAGAATTGTGCACTGCAACAGTCCGCACCCAGAAGGCCCTGTGCCAGCTGAATGCTCTGTTGTGACTGCCTTGAAACTCTTCATCGCTGCTGAGCAAGGGACCCTGCGTGTTCCTTTTACACCAAGCCCTGCAAGTGACACAGCCAGTCATGCTTCCAGCAGGAACTTCCATGCACTCAGACACAGCTCACCTGTGAGATCGGCTGTGGCAGTGAAGCCACCTTGGGGGGGGGGGGTCCACCACCTCCTCCCTCAGCCTGGACTCCTGTGGGTCCCACGGAAGGTTTCCTTTCTCATCCTCTGTCATGCATCCAGCAGGAACATGCATGCACTCAGACACAGCTCACCTGTGAGATCGGCTGTGGCAGTGAAGCCACCTTGGGGGGGGGGGGTCCACCACCTCCTCCCTCAGCCTGGACTCCTGTGGGTCCCACGGAAGGTTTCCTTTCTCATCCTCTTAGGAACCGGCCCATAACCAGAAATCTTCAGCAGCCTGGCTGCAGTGTCTGCTGGTAAACCACTGCCCTATCCTGCCTTATGTTTTTTTAACTTTTGTACTGAGGTATCACCTGTACAATAAACTGCACCAAACTTCACTGTGTAGCTCAACAGGTTGTGTATGTGCGTCCACCGTGGAACCCCTTCCCCAATTGAGATAGAGCATTTCTATCACCCAAACACGGGCTTCACTGGACCCTCAAAGCGGTCACTGGTGACCTGCCTCCACTGCCACAGATGTGTTTCGGGACTCATCGAAACAACTGTTTGTTCTGTTCTTGCTGCTGCAACAAAATGCCTTAGGCTGGGTAATTATAAATAATAGAAGTGCATTGCTCACAGCTCTGGATGCTGGGAAGTCCAAGATCAAGGCCCCAGCAGATTCAGGGTCTGGAGGGGGCCTGGTCTCAGCTTCCAAGGCAGCGCCTACTGCGTCCTCTTGTGGTGGCAGGGATAAGGCAGCTTCCTCCAACCTCTTTTAAAAGGACACTGATCTCATTCATAAGAGCAGAGTCCTCAGACTTAATCACCTCCTAAAGGCCCCACCTCTTCCTACTATCACATTGTGTATATGAGGTTCCAGCCTGTGAATTTTGGTGGGGGACACCGACATACAGATCATAGCAGTAACATAAGTGGCTTGATTTAAAATTGGTTTTGGGCTGGTTAGTTAGCTCAGTTGGTTAGAGCACAGTATTATAACACCAAGGTCAAGGATCCAGATCCCCATACAGCCAGCAGCCCCCCACCAAAAATAATTGATTTTTAACAAAATATTAAGTAAACAATACAGAAAGATATATACATTTAGCAACAACCCAATGACTGGGGAATTAACAGCTGGAGCCAGACTACCCGCCCCCCCATGCTCCCTTCATGTCTAGACTCAGGGCAGAGGGAAACAAGGTTACCTACCACCTCTCCTGCCCTCCCTTCCTGCCTGCTCCCCTTCCCTCCGGTGATCCTCCCAGCAGCCAGCTCCCAGCATCTCTGAGAGCTCCTTTCACATGCAATCATCTATGCCTTTGCAGTCCACTGATTTCGTTCCTGTCCCCCTTTGCCCCCCACTCCCTGTCTGCTCTGGTCTGACTTTGGCCTGTTCTGGCCCCAGTGACAGCTTGCCAGGACTATGGAAAGGGCATGCTTGCTGGTCCCTGCCTCCTCTTCAGCTTCTGTCCTTCACACTGCTGCATAATCTCTGATCCCACCACTGCCCTGCTTTGCAACCTCCAAACCTCCCCACTGCCCCTGAGCAGTGGCCAGATGCTCAGCCTTACACCCCTCACTCCAGCTCACCTAAACTTGGTGCTTTTCCTTGTATGCATGCCTCATTCTGGTTACCATTGCTGTGTAACAAACAGCCCCCAAAATCAGTGGCATGAAACAAGTCATCTGTTTTGCTCACACATCTGCAGTTTGGACAGGGCCTGAAGGGGACAGCTCATCTCTGTTTCATGAGACACCAACAGAGATGTGTCATCTGGGGCTGGAAGATCCACCTCCAAGATGTCCCACCTGCTTGGTGCATCTGCCAACCAGGTGGCTGGCAAGGTCTTCTGGGCTCTTAGTTCCTCTTCACAAGAGGCTCCCTGTGGGCAGCTTGGGCTTCCTCGCAGCATGGCGGCTGGTTTTCATCACCTGTAATGACCGGGCCTCTGACGTCACATTGCATCTCTTCTGCTGTAGTCCTGGGCCTTCCTAGACTCAAGGGGAGGGAACATAGACACCACTTCTTGACAGGAACAATGTCAAAGTCACGTTATTGGAAGAGCACATGGGATGGGAAATGTTGCGGCTGTTTTCAGAAACTACAATCTGCCACCCGGTTCATGCAGTTCTTTGTCCTTGGAATGCCTTTGTTCCCATCTGCCCAATCCCAGTCTCTCTACAAGGCCCAGCTCCATTGCCACCTGGTGCTTCTCCATGCTGGCCCCTGCCAGCTGGGAGTCCTTGCTGTCCGCCCCAGGTCCTGCACCCTGTTCGTTCCATGTCTCTCCTAGGGGCAGTGTAGCCTTTCTGTTTACTAGTCATTAGCGTGCAAGTTGTCAGAGGAAGGGGTGCTTCATCAGCTGGGGCTCAGCACCTAAGGCTGATAAACACCACCAGCACCCCACCCACTGTCCCTAGTAAATAAATCTCCTAAAGACTGTGACATAGTCTCATACACCAGTGTATTCCCAGCACCCCATGCATCGTAGGTGCTCAGCATATTTATTTATTTAGCACTTACAATGCTATGTGCCAGGCACAGTCCTAAGTATTCTACACATGTTTTAACTCATATCAATATCCTGGAAGCCCTGTTACATAGTGTGTCAGTCAGTTTTCTTTTTGCTGTGATGTTGCTGTGTAACAAACAGCCCCACAAACTCAGTGGCTTGCAACAGCAAGTACTGATGTCTCACTCCCCGGTCTGTGGGTGGGCCCTGGCCCTGCAGAGTGACTGCACAGGGTTGGACCCTATCACGTTGCACTTGGGTTCCAGTTGCCTTCATGTGTCTTCTCACTTAGTGACACCTGTAGTACATGTTCGTGGTGGCTGGCAGAAGCACAGGGCACAAGCCAGGTCAGGTAAGTGCATCTGCAGCCTCTGCTCAGGGCATGCGCCTGCATTCCATCAGCCAACCAAGTCACATGGCTAAGCCCAGCACTGGTGAACTGGGAGGTCACACGGCACAGGAAGGGACAGGCAAATCTGTTGAGGGAATGACGAGTTGGGAACTATCATCTAATCTTCCATAGGTAGGTACTGTTGTCATTCCCATTCTACACATGGGGGACTTGAGGAGCCTAGAGGTCAAATCACTTGCCCAAGGTCATACAATAGTAAGCAAACAGCAGAGGCGGGATTCAAACCCAAAGCCTCTCCACATGCATCTGTCCTTCATGCTCTTGTTGAC